CAAAAGACAATGATGATGTCTCCGTAACTTGGGGAGAAACAAGATTTTTGCCGGGATTGCGGGAGATGTTGATGATGTCCACACAACCAGAGGAAATGGTCACAATATTACCAGGATAACATTGAAACCGATAGGTGATGGCACGGTCGTATTCAGCGAAAAGTCGGACTAGCCGAGGTCGATTAGGGGAGTTATTCTGTACAAGCATCTCTTCCATGCATAGTCTGTATTATAAACTCTTCCATTGATCATTGATTGGTGAGTCTAAGTTAGCTTATACGCAAAACTAAAAATGAAAATAATATGAAAACTATAAATAAGAAGTAAAATCTATTTTTATACAGTTTTTATCGTCCAGTTAAAAACCATACAGGTAAATTTTTTTGTAGTGTTAAGAAAGCATTTATGTGAAATGCTTCCTTAACAATGCTTTCTTAAACGTTTCTGCCGATGGCAGAGAACCGTGTTGTCATGCAGTGGTCCATGACGAATGGTCCACTACCCTTGGTTGTCGTGCCATGGCCACGCGTCAATGGCACATGTTGTAAGTAACATGAGAGCTTGCAAATCGCATGGTTTTTAGTAGGACGGTAGCGAACCAGCCCTGCTTTTTAATTGGCCACTGTTTATGTGTTTTATGACTTATGTGTGTATTAGTTTACCATTTTCAGTGTGTTTCAGTATATTTTGATATTGTTAGTTATGGACAAGAATTTAAAAAAAATAAATATATATATGGAAAAATATATTTCCAGAATATCACTAAAACTTTTTTGGAAGGCCAAGAAATAAATGGATGTCCCAAGGTTAAACAAGCTTAAGGTCAGCCTATCCTATTGTTTAACATTTGGACTGGAATAGAAGACAATACTGTAATGAATATTGTTATAATATACATGCAGGCAAAATTTAAAATTTGACCTTAATTTGTGTTTTAATTTACCTAAAAAATTTGGAAATTACCCGGGGAGTCTGACACGAAATTTTCAAAAATTTTAAAATTTTAAGATTATTTTAAATAATGATTCTACTACTCATTCTGAGTAATTTGACATATAAAACATATATATTTGAAGGTTATTTAGTATAATAAAAAATAATTATCCTAAACGATGCACCTCTTTTTTGAGGTCCAAAATCCTCGTTTGGAACTAACATTTTGTTACATACTACTAACCAATTTACCCAGGATTTTATTTAAAGGATTACTTGTGTTGGCTAACCTGCAAGTTGATCTCTATGCTTCCAAAATACTAAATATCATCAGCTGTCAGCTGTGTTTCTGATGTAAATAGTAAACAGAATGTTTGTTTACATTTGTTGATTTGAGATTGTGGTTATTCTGGTTCTTGTGATTTTATTGTGTTTGTGCTGTGAAATTGGATTAGGAATATGCCTCGTATCAAGAAATTCAATAAAAGGAAATACCTTGGAAACCAATATACACCAACACCAAAACAAAATAATCAAACTCCAGGTAACCAAGGGAACAATGATTGTTTTGAAACTAGACCTATGCCTGATGACAATGTCAAACAGTCAACATCAAGAAGGAAATTGATCTATTTATCAATGATGGGTAAGAAGACTGATTATTTGCCTGATAAAAGCCAGAAGGGAAACATAATTATTGATCTATCAGTTCTAAATGATATTGTGAAGCAGCTCTGCTGCAAAAAATGTAACTCGAGTTCGGTTGAAATATTCGAACTTACTGAATTTCGTAAAGGGTTAGCATCTAAGTTAGAAATGTCCTGCAGTACTTGTGGGTATCATAGCAATTTCAATACAAGTAGGCCTACAAATATCAATATTGAGGGAAGGTCTAGGCCTATGATAGCCCATGAGGTCAATGTTAGGCTAGCCTACGGAATGCGTACAATCGGCAAGGGCCAAACAGCTGCCGAAGCCCTGTGTGCAATTATGAATTTACCGAGGCCCCCAAAAAGGTTTCAGATCTACAACAAACCTCTGGCTCAAGCCACAAAGAAAGTAGCTATTGAATCCATGCAGATTGCTGCTCGTGAGGCCATAACAGACAATGATGGGGATATAAACATTACTGCGGCTTTTGATGGAAGCTGGCAAAAACGCGGGCATATATCTAAGAATGGCATTGTTTCTGTTACTAACATGGTGACTGGAAAGGTGATGGATGTAGAATGCCTAAGCAAATATTGCCCTAAATGTCACTTGAGAGAGAAAAATGAACATGTCTGCATATCAAATTATTCTGGATCAAGTGGAGGGATGGAGATAGTCGGTGTGCATAATATTTTTCTACGATCGTTGGAACAAAACGGAGTGCGCTATACCACTTACCTAGGAGATGGAGACAGTAAAAGTTTTCAAAGTGTTACTGAATTGAAACCTTATGGTGAAATTGAAATTGTGAAGCAGGAGTGTGTAGGCCATATACAAAAGCGCATGGGAACGCGGCTGAGAAAAATGCGAAGAGAAACCAAAGGGGATTTGGTAGACGGAAAACGACTAACCGGTAAGAATCGGCTTACATTAAACGTAATTGACGAACTGCAGACATATTATGGCCTAGCCATAAGGCGTAACACTGATAACATTGACAATATGTACAGATCTGTTTGGGCTACGTACTATCACAGATTATCAACTGACGAAAACCCAGACCACGGCCTGTGTCCGCCTGGGAAAGATTCATGGTGTGGTTTTCAAAGGTCGTTGGTTACCAAAGAACCATACAGGCATATCAAAAGCATCCCACAAGCAGTCATGGAGTGTATAAAACCTGTATATAGGGATCTCTCAAACAAAAACCTGCTGAGAAAGTGCCTTCATGGCAAAACACAAAACCCGAACGAATCATTCAACAACGTAGTATGGTCTCGGCTTCCAAAACGGGTTTTTGTGGGACTGGAGACTTTGCAAGTAGGAGTGTGGGATGCTGTGGTAACCTACAATACAGGATACCTAGGTAGGGTGAAGGTTCTCCAAGAACTGTTCAGTGATGCTGGTGCTAACTCCGTTCTCGGCCTCAAGATACTCGACGAAGTTAGGCGCAGAAAAGCCGACAAAAGTACAGAGGAAATGGAGAAAAAAGCCAGACAAGCTAACAGAAATCTTAAAAGGAAACTAGAGGAGGAGGAAGAAGAGGAGGAAGTATATGGACCTGGGATAGCTGATATTTAATGGGTATGTGGTACTTTTCTTACCTAGTTCTTACCTAGCTTAGACTTTAACTTAAATTTCCCGAGAACTCAATTTTTTAACATTTAGGTACACTTTTCTCGAAAACTATTTGAGATAGAGTATTCAAATTTTTACCATAGTTTATTGTTGTTATAATGAACATTGTGAACCTTTTTTAACTCTGTAATTAACATTAATTAATATTTTAAAAAGAAAAATATGTTTTAAAAAAGTGCTTTTTTTAAACAATATTAAAAAAATTAATTTCTGTAGAACCAAGGGGAATAAAAAATAACGGAGAGGTTCACAATATAGACAAATATGTGTATAATACATGTAAAAATTTTCAAGTCCCTAGATGTAACAGTTTTCTAGTAAAGTGTACCTAAAAATAGCAAAATTAACATTGCGTTAAATGGCACGTCAGACTCCCCTTAAAAAATAATACTTTAATTGGCAATACTTATAGAGGTTGATCCTGAAATAGTAGCATTCTTAACAATTTAGTGATACCTACAAAACGCTAAAACTCGAAACCTTCGTATTTAGGGAGACACATAAATGTTAAGTAAGGCTTAGAAAGTAAGACACAGAAAATGTTTATAAAAAAAGGATAAATAAAGTCGTCAAAAATTTGTATTGTTATTGACAAAACACAACCTTTTCCAACAAAAAATATGAATTATTTGTTGTGAACAAACAGGAATGACTGTAAGAGATCATACAAGTTAAATGGTCCTGAAGTTGGTCCTTAAACTTAAACATACGCTGACTGTGATTCGCGGATAATTCTGGTTGTTTCAGCTTAAAAATAAATTGACTTATTTCATAGGACAAATAGTGTTGGATAGAAGTGGTTAAGAAACCCAAAAACAAGGAAAGATTGCTCATTAGAACTTATTCAAGCACTTCTATAAAACATAATGGCAAAATAGCAAGAAATCTCATTTCCAACAACGCTAAAATAAAATAAACAGCATTTGAATATATTAATGTGTAAAAAACTACAAATCACCAAAGTTTTCAAACTATGAAATATTGCACAATAATTTAACCATGGGACACATTACTCATTTGTTACATTAAAAAGTAACACTTCAAAGTTTGCTATTGTTAACTAACTACTATAGTTCGGCCGCTTAGAAAACGACCTGCACGCTAATGCTAAACCAATGCTGGAGGAGGTCGCTTTCTAAGCGGCCGAACTATAGCACTACCATAAAAAAAAACTGTAGTTTTAGCTTAGAACAATAAATTTTCCAAGAATTTTGAAAAATCTATAAAAACATGTTTGGGAAAAACAATAAGTTAAATTAAGCAATAAAAAAATAGTTACAAAACATGTTTGCTTATTATAGTATATAATATTTATTTAGCAATCATTCCATAATGAACAAAAAGAGGATATGGCCAAAAATGGTTTTACATTCAAAATATCTGCGTGATTAATCCTTAAGTAAATGGAAACCAGCACGATTTTCTGTTATACAAATTAATTCTATTAGCCTATCTCAACTGTTTCAACTAATAGCATATTAATCATGCAGTCTTACAAAAACAACTACGTTCTCTTCTCAGTGACTCATAACAGTAATACTACTTAACCACGCTCTAAATTATACATATATTAGGTCTTTAAAATACTATAATAAGACAAGGAAGCTGAAATATAACTGCTCAGAATTAATATATAAAAGTTTACTGTTTCCAATGCATGCATGAAGTAATAAAAAATTAAAAAATACAACTCAACCAATAGGGCAATAAAAAATACAATAGTTTTGTTAAAACAATCGTTGCACTAAATCACAGTAAAGTAATAAAAATATCCTGAATATTTAAACCAAATGAAAACATTTAATGGCACATAATGGATGTAAAATAAAAGTGTGTAGTGTACATTATGGAATTTTCTCAATGTAGAGTCGTATCTGTGCTGATGTGGAATGATAGGTTAGGTTAGGCTAGATGACTAGTCGTCTTACTCCACATTGGCAGCAGAACTTGGCGGCCAAGACAGGATACTTAGCTCCACACTCGTGACAGAACCTTGCCACTTCTTGCTCCTTAGTCTCCTGCTCTCCTCCCACTGGCGACTTGCGGTTCAGGCTGTGGGGAAAACCACTGTGACCAGTTATATGATAAAACTATATTTAATCTCCGAATTATTGGAAGAATTTGTGATGACAAGACAGTGATATTAGTATACCATGGTTATTTCTTATCAATTATGTCTTACAGTTTTTTGTGCTGGGCAAATTCATCTTCTATTAAATCTATATATACTATAATACGAGTAACGTTTGCACAAAATGATTTCAAAAACGGCTCCTTTGATTTCCTCTAAATTGTTAGGAATATCTTCGTTTCAGGCTAAAAAATAACCCTATACTAGCCACTGTTCTAGGAAAATTCGTTTATCGTTAAAAACTTTAAATGAAATTTCAATATTCTTAACATTGGTCTTATGGAAAGCTAGGTAGCCATGACAGTTTTACAAAAATGTAAATAAATGAATTGTAACATAAAATGCTTATAACAAAACATCTACAGTACAGTGGAAAATTACTAAATACAGTACTAAAGAAAAGGAAATCCCAAAGTATCCATGAACTTAAAAAAAAAAAAAAAAACTACAAGAACACCTCCATAAACCATATACTTAAAATGTTCGTCACAACGAGAAACCTTGTGCAAAACTATCCATTATTTCATAAATTGCTCTTTAAGGTGGTAATTCCTTTCTAAAGGGAATTTTCCATATTATGTTACAAATACCCCAGCTGTACTTATTTGTTTGTTATTCTTTCAATTTATTACCTTATTAAAAAATCAGGTGTGATTATTTGTTTGTATTACTGTATTCTGTTTTGTTTATTTCAGCTTAACTTAACCAATCAAAAGTTTTATTAATACTTATGAAGTCAAACGGGGTGAAGCCCGTGGGTAAAATCGTAGAATACTTTACCGCACAAGATTATACACCAATGCTGAACAAAGAGTATTGAGGAAACCGCAAGGGCGTTCTGTAATGTTTGACGATGCGCTTCCGGTATGGGCCACGATCCTACGGATTATAAAATAGAAACGATATGGACACAAACAAACAAATGATCCAAAAATAAACATGTTTGTATTATTTCAATGCAACTGTCAAAAGACTTCCAAAACGAATGTAGAGATTATTGATAATAGATTCCATTCAGTGACGTCATTCTTTTATGTTTTTCATCCATACAGTTTCTGTTCTAATATCTGTGGATAAGTGCAGGGCCGAGTGCTGTTTGCCTAAACACTTTGATGAGGGTCATTTTATAGCCTGAGGCTTGGCGGGGCGAGTGCTGGCCAGGTATCGTATGGGGGTGGAAAGATCGACCAGAGAGGATGAGCAAAATTTGTTTTAGAGATAAAATGAAACTGCTACAATCTAACCTTTACCTAACCTAACCAAACTTGCTGATTATGAAAAAAAAAAAATGAATGAAGGTTTACTAATAGAATCGATATTTGGGTAGCCCATTTAAAAAATTGTACCCGGTCTCCGTTACATCGTGCCCACTACACCCCCTTCAACTAATACCCCTCCCCTGAAAAACTCTTACGCTCTGGGGAGACCAACGGCACTCGAGCCTATCTGATGGTTTTGACAGTTTATAACCCCTTCGGTAAAGAATAGAACGGCATTCGCTCCGTTTCCTTCCGAGGATGGTCCCATTGTTGCTACGTTCCGTGATCCGAATGACTAAGTCGCTACCAGAGAGCGCATAATATTCGCAACTCGCAACAATTCTAGTCAACAGCACATTAGCTGATAATATGTTAAATATTATCACGAGTTTGTTATTGAACTTGATTGTAGATATTTTCAACCTCCTTCAATCATTTCCATACAGAAGAACAATCAATTTGTTCTTCTGTATGGAAATGATTGTTAATTAAATTAGGAATGAAGAGGGAACATCTACTGAAGAGAAATTGGCTTAAAATTTAACTAAATGTGGCAATATTTAACCCTCAATGCATCAAGCAAAAACGCCTTAGCGTTAAGCAGTTTTTAGTGAATTTCCCTATAGGGAAGTAGCTATTACCGTAGGTGGCACGGTAAGACCTAGGCTCAGGACCGATTTACTTTTTCATTTTGATATCCCCAGAGGCCAAAAACACCATTCGTTAAAGTTTTTATATATGTATATATTTATATATAATATACAGGGTGTCCTGTAATTAAACATCCAAACTCCAGGAAATGGTTCTATGGGTCAAAATAAAGAGAAAATCAATAACATTTTTTCTAAAATCGCTTCGTTAACCAGATATCCACCATTTTGTATTTTTTACATAAACATTTTTAGTTTTGAATTTTTTCAACCGATCTTTATAGTTACTACTTGTGATGTAGATTGAGGTAGAAAAGACCAATGTTAGAAAAACAATTCATCTAGATTCAACTTAAAATTTCAAAATAGCGGCCATTTTAATTTTTAAACCTAAATTACTTAAAAACGGCTAATTTTATGAAAAAATGTCAAGAACACTTTTATTTAGCGTTTTTAATTCCCTATCAAACGATACCAAGTTCAAAAAGATCGAATAAGAAATAGCTGAAATATTACGATTTTTAGTTGTAAAATGGGGCAAACCTGACTAGCTTTTGCCTTATTGTAACCCATTTTACAACTAAAAATCGTTTTCAAAGATTTCAAATTTTTATCACGATCAATTAATTGCAGGCCTACCTTAGAGCTATGCCTCATAGATCTATGAAGCAATTTCTTTTATCATTAGATATAAAATATGGACTAACACGATAGGGTGACATTTCATTGTGAAGCATTAGTTTTGGCTTGAAACTGTCAGATATTGTATTTGCGAAGGTTTATATGTATTCCTATACAGTAATAGTTTTACTAGCATATCTGAAAAAATGCACATTAAATATGCAAACCAACTCCTGTTCTGAATATAAGAAGGTTTCAACTTACTACAAGATTCCCGAACGTAGAACGGGCACACAGCTAGTAAATAAATGAATCTTTATTGTCACATAATGTTTTCATAATATAGCAATGCTATAAAACAAGTGACATAGTCAAAATACAAATACTTTAAGATTAAGGAGTTATGAAAGACTAAAAATACCGGTAACTATAAAAATAAAAGTAGTATAAACAAAATGTATCAGTTAAAAAATTTAGTTTTCAAAACAAATTTATTCTTACACAACCTGATCATTTAAGAACTCATCTATACTGTAATAGGGTTTTCTTAAAAGAAAATTAGCAAGGCTGCTTTTGAAATGCTTGGACTGTATTTTGTTCTTTAATTCTTGAGACAGTTTATTAAATAGTTTTTTGTCCATGTACAGTGGCGTAACAGAAGGGCCCGCAATGCGGGGGGGCCCGGGATCTGATGGTGCCCGCGAACCGCTGTCCGGTTTTCTTTAGATGTCGTGTTTTGTTTACAATTTGTTTCTATTATTTTAGGGTTAGTTTCTCATTATTTGTGTCTCACTGTTTGGTTATATAGCTAGTGGACGAGGTTTATTATGATTTGATAGTTTTATTTGGTTAAACAAGGTTTTAAATTAATGCTGTTGGAGCAAACCTAAGTACTCGTTAAACTAGTGCTAATTAAATAGGGAATAATAAATAACTAGTGTACATGTTCGAATTCGAGCAATTGCGAAGAATTACAGGCGTTATTTTAAAACGAATAACGGTCATAATTTCAGATGACTTTATAAAAATCAACTCAAAGATTATGGAAATACTCACGATGTACACAACAGTTAGACATAATTGTTTGTAAATATCTTATCTTTTTTCAAAAGCTGATCTTGTTTTTTAGAGTTTTCTACAAATGTTTCCCACTCATAGCCGCATTAGGTTCTCTATAATAACGATTATAAATGAAGAAAAAAAACATTATTTCTATTTCTTCTAATTCAGTTTTATTTTTAGTAGGCCTATATCAAATTGTCCAAGATTTCTCGCTTTTTTCCATTGTAATAATTACACCAACCCAAGTATCGTCTACAGATGCAATACGCCAAAGAATGTCATCTACGTGCAACACGCCTACGTACAATCTCCAAGAAGTGGTAAAGAAGGCAGAAACCGACCCATACAATAGACATAAGTTAACTCGATAAGAAATAATTTTAAGAGTTACTGTGATATTAGGATTTTCCACTGATTTGGATTACACATTATAACATTACAACATTATATTGCTAAACATGACACGATGCAGAAGAAAATCAATTTTAAAATCAGAAAAAACCTTTGCAAATACTTCATTTTGACAAATTAAGTAAATCACAATTTAAATATTAACAGCTGTTTCATTAAAAAGTATTGTAAAATTATACATACTAGAGGTCGTCCAGTGGTCGAAACTCGACCAAAAATATGTAATGTACAGATTTCTCTATTTTAACCTCACACTGTAAATAAAACATGTGATTGGAGTTTCTTCCATTTGTTTTGATTTTCTGTTTATATTTCGTTGTTATTTCGTCACCAGCATAGCAACCCATATGATCCATATTAATTTTTTCAAATTTTTAAACTCATTTTTTGTGCTTATCTTTGAGCCTATTTTAATTTATAAAGGGATTCTGCACACCTACAGGAAAATAGCTTTCTAACGGTATGCGTAGATTTTCCCTACGATGCACACGAGCTGAGAAAAAAGGTTTTAAAGAAACATGCTTGCCTATTAATATATAGATTATGGTCATCCTAAACAAATCTGCTGAGGGGACTCTAGAGGCCTCTGGGGCAGAGCCCCAAGGGAATTTACCTCGTTTCTCTTTTGATGGCTCATCTACAGACCAAGACCTTTCTTTAGAGACCCTTACCAAGTTTCTATGCCCAGCCGTTCTCTGAAATTAGCTGTGACAAAAACCCGTTTTTCCCCCATAAGAATAACATGAGATGGGAATTTAAAGGCCACTGGGACAGAGCCCCAAGGGAATTTACCACATTTCTCTTTTGATGGCTCATCTAAAGACCAAGCCCTTTCTTTAGACACCTCTTCCGAGTTTCTACGCCCAGCCGTTCTCTCAAATTAGCTGTCACAAAGAAAAACAGTTTCAAATTAATATATAGATAATAAATAAAATATCACATAATAATTTCAATGTGATATTTTTAAGGAGACATTTAATGTAAATCCAATCAGGCAGATGGAAATTCGCTTAGTCTGCAGGTTAGCTGCGGCCCAGGTTGAGGTATTTTTTTCATTTATTACTGCCTCTACCATCCCCATAGCCGCTCTTTTTTTTTGTCTCAGGATGCTAGGCGTGAGACCGGGATTGTTTTCACAATACTTCAGGCTAGACCTAGGGGTTGGGGCATAATCACTCAGATAAAATCCTTTGGTGATTTGGCGGGATTTGAACCCGGGACCTCTTGGACCGAAGTCCTGTGCTCTAACCACTAAACCAGCTCGCTCCCCCGCCATAGCCTCCCTTACACCTCCTTTTAGAGAATTTCCTATTTAGGGAATAAGTTTTTACCGCAGGTCTCATAGTAAAACCTAGACCCGGGACCGATTTACTTTTTTATTTTTTGTTTTGGCAAATTTGATTATTTCATACTAAGCTATCAAGATTTCAATAAAAAACACTCCTTTTACATTAACTGTAGTAGCAGACCTAATTACTTATTAAAGTTAATGTTATTTGAATAGGAAATAAATATGGCGAACTAAAGAAATCCAGCCAGGAAAATTGGGAATTTGCTGTCTGCAGGTTTGCTGCAGTGGGGGTAACTATTAATACAGTACCAAAAAGAAATCAAATTCTAAATACTTAAAGCTCTAATTGGAACAAAGATTGGCAATAAAAATTACATACACCACAGATATTTCAGAACTTAAGAAATATTTTCAGCAACTATCTCATTTCAACATAACTTAGTATCCAAAAAACTAACGTGATCATTTAGTAGAGTTAATTTAAAATTTAGTGTAGTAAATGTTTAGTAGATTTCCCTGACTTAAAACTATCTTGAAAACTTCCCCTGACTCTCAGTCTTTTTTAAAACCTTTCTCTGTCCTTATACATCCTTCCCAGACTTTCTTAGATCCGTGGGAACCCTGTAATTCTTAATCTCGTGATCATTTTCATTATCATTTAATGTCACAAAAACATCGTCTTCCGCGATAGCGACAAAATCCTTAATATCTCAAAATTTTTCGCAGAAACATTATGGCTAGGCTTCTGGTGGCATAATCCTGTGACACATTTTACAAACACGATCGTAAAAGCTCGGCTTGAGCTTGATTTTCCTAGAATGGCTAAAAACCCCAGTTTTCAAATTTAAGGTTTTTTCCCAGTTTTCCCGGTTGGTATACACCCTGTTAAAATACCTAATCATAGAATAAAAAATTATTTCCTCCTGATAGTAATTTAAATTATTTTAAAGCCCTTATCAAGATTTATAGCCTAAGGTTGACCATCTGTCATTTTGGCAATAAGCTGAATGACCAAATTTAAATAAATTCCAAGAGAACATTTAATTACTCTACATCATAACATACCTGCTATAAGCGGAGTCTGGTCCACCAGTGTGACTCATTGAGAAGTCCCTATCTTGTACGTCCATCAGGTCCGCCGGGAAACTAGAAACCAAGGAAGGAAAAAGTTTAAGAGGAGGAGAGGAAGGAGAGGGGGAAGAGGATGAAGAGGAAGAGAAAATCTTCTCAAACTCTGACATAGACTTAAGTAGCTCCTGCTCTGCGTTTAGAGTCTCGGTGTCGGACACCGCTTTGTGTAAAGAACCAGAAGAACTGTGGAAGTTATCATTTTTCTCAGTCTGTCGTGTAATAATTGGTGAACCGAAATATCTTTCCCCCTCAATGACGGTTTTTGAACCGTACAGCAAATCTTCCATTTTTAGTAGACCCTTGAGGGGATCCCTACTCCTACGGGGTTCGCTTGGTTTGCGAGACTCCACGGCAGAAACTGTCCTCCTCAGAGGCAACGGAGTCTTCTTCTCAGGTACTCTGGCGCTGTTACTGTGTCCCATTTTGTAACTATTTTTGTTACTATCGACCGACTCTATGCTGATGGTTGAGCATAGACTCAAAGTACTCAGGTTGATAGTGTTTTGGTTGGAGTCTTTAGAAAAATTGTCCAGCGGAGAAGTAATGGTGAGGGGAGGGGTTGATTTTTCACTTGAAGCATGGGATTTGGTTTCCACTTTTGACATGGTATCGTTGTCGTTTTCTGAAATGAAGAGCGGCTCGGGGGTTAGACTAGAGGTAAATTTGCTAAAAGCTGAGGTAGGCGAGGAAACTAGAGAGGGTGATTTGGAAATGGGGGTTAGTTTCTGCGGCTGTGGCTGAGGATGTGGCTCCATGAGTTCCAGCATTTGCTGCTCGGCTGACTTGTACGGGTCGTAGTCGTTTGATCCACTACAACGCAAGACACAAAAAACATGTATCAGAAAACTTTTGATGAATTATTATCTTAGCCTATTATTAAAAATTGTAAGAAAATGGCAAATTGATATTACTTGGATGTGACATTTGAAAATTACTGAAACTAGTTAAGAGACAGGAAATCATAATACAAAACCTTGATTATAAAATATCAAAGAGTAGTGCCATTGATTGAAACGGAAAAACAGTGCTGGATTCTTAGAATGACAATTAATTTATCAAAATGAATGTAAAAATTACTTCTAGCAAGATTTAGGAAGATCTGAAAATTTGCATTAAATTAACACAAAGAGAAAAGGCAAAAACAAAGATTTTCCACTGGAAAGGTAAAGGGATTTCTAACAAACAGTTACAACCAAACAGAAGCCAACCATACTTTGTGAAAAGGGAAGTAGCTGTTAGCAGGAAGAAACATATAATAAAACATAAGTTGAGTTTATATCTTTATTGTTTTTTTATATTCAATGAGAGTATCATGGTAATTGATGGACAACTACTATCATGCATTGAACTTCATTGAAGACATTTTGATTTATTTACATTTTTATTTCAAACCAAAACTGCTTTTAAGTTGTGCCTACAGTGCTGCTAATTCAAGTCTGTGGAAGAACAAATTTGAATTTAATAATCTTTAACGCTTTAATAAAATATCATAAGCATTAAAAGTATGGAATAGGAGACACATTGCTGTTTAAAATAGTTTTGTATACAAACAAACTTTTAAATTACAAAATTATTTAATTTTTTTTTGTTTTTTAACAATAAATCAGGTATTTTATCAAGTTCATGCAAATTTAGATCCTTGTAGTTGAAATTTGTGTATACAAAAAATGCCCAATTATTAAAATCTACCATGCATGAACCATATGATTGATGACATGGGATTGTAGAGCTTTCAAGGCTAATTTTTCATATTAATAGAATGAAAGATGAAAATTATAAGATAAGTATACGTGCTGAACAGATTTCATGGTGCACAACTACTTAGTGAAACAAGATTAATTTTTGGTAAGTGAGTCAAAATTGAACTCACGGGCCCACACGTTTCTTAGTTATCTGTGTAACTACTTTTTTGACAGCATTTGGAAATCTCATTCTGTAAACAGCAACAATAAAACACATATAGTATAGAGATTAGTTCTAGATTTTAGAACATTTATTGAGCGGAGCGACATTGGGATCAACTTCAATGCAATCTTTCTAACACATTAACTCAATAATGGCTGAAAATATTTTAGCCGAACTTACCAAGGTTGTTTTGTTAAATGTTTGGAAGGTTTAGACGAAACCAATTAAAATGTTTGATTATGCCTATATAATTAAAAAGTAACTCAAAGTTTTAAAATTTTTACATTGATTGACCTTATGGATTGGAGAGCACTTCTTCGTCCAAAAAATGCTATTATAAAAGGCTTAAATACCTGCTATTAAGCAATCCAATTTTGTTGTTGACACAACTAGTTTCGGTGTCTGTGTGACACCATCATCAGGCTGCACAAGGACAGTTTTCTTTCTTCATACGAAGAGCGTCATATTTACGTTATCTTAAGATAACGGACGTACACCACTGCATTGACCACCCGCAGTCTGGACTCAAACTCCGTCGGGTTAGCGTCGTCTGTTTTCTTAACTGATCAGTTACCATAAATGTCTCGTATTCGTGTTTGTGTAGTGTTTAAATGTTTATTTATTATTTTCGTGTAAATATGACGCTCTTCGTATGAAGAAAGAAAACTGTCCTTGTGCAGCCTGATGATGGTGTCACACAGACACCGAAACTAGTTGTGTCAACAACAAAATTGGATTGCTTAATAGCAGGTATTTAAACCTTTTATAATATTATTTGGCAATCCGGAGGCTAACAACTACAACAAAAAATGCTGTCCGATTTTGCAACTATCGTTTGTTACTCTATCGAATCTGGACATCATCTATACTATCAATTCAATTGTAGTTGTAGTTGTTGTTTGTCACATATCTGTCAGAAGCTATTGTGATACGGACAAAATTAGAGCATTCTATTATAAAATTAAACTGTCATAACCTAGCCAAACTTATCAAACTTGCTGATGATAAAAAAAACGAATGAAGGTTTACTAATAGAAAAAAAAATAGTTCTGTCCATAAAGTAAAATTATAAATGCCTCAAATTCTAACAAAAGATGTACAGTTAAGAAGCAATCACATTCTAAGCAAAATCTTTGACTAAAAGTTAGTGTCACCGGTGGGATTCGATCTGGTTACCTCTTGGACGTGAGCCGAGTTCTCTATCCACTACACCACAAACACCAATGACAGCACTTTCTATCGTTGCGGTAATGGTGTTCATTATATTCATTCAACCATAAACAATTGAATCGAACCCATTTGGTCCGAAATAATATTGATACTTAGTATTTCCATATTGAACCGATAGTAGACGGTGTTTTGTATGAACATTTGATCACCTTATGTGTTGCCATGATGGTAAAAAAATAACGATGTAAATGTAAAAAAAACAAAGAATCATAGCATATGTTAAAATCAAGCCATGACCTAAACACAGTACAAAGGAAACAAATTCAGATGATGACCACTGATCAAATAATACGGAGAAAGTCTTAAGTTTATATTAAAGTCGCAATTTGGAAACGACCACTGATAGAATAGATACAGTATTTTACAGATTTGATTTACGTAGCTAAATAAGGTTAAGTATAACAAATAAAATTTATCTTATGTTATTGGGAATTAAAACAACTACATGATTCTGCAGTTTAAATAACTAGGTATTCTCAAATCAATATTTTTTATCTAAATAGGCTATTATAAACATGCTTTCTTATTATTTGCATTGAAATATTTTTGATGATATTATCGCGTTGGCAACACACTAGTTGTATTGATTGTTGTGTTGGCAACGACTTGGGGTATATTATTGCCCAAGAAGGATTAAGGATTTTTTGCGTTTTCGTTTTACAAGAAAATACATAATTCGCATAAGAGTGTCATATGAAGGAAGACTTCAGAATACATTTTCAAAAACTGCCTGATATTTGTAGGAAAGGAAGACGAGCATTAACGCCGGAAACGCACGAACAACTACTTCTGGCAATGTTTGGAGAAAGTTTTATGTAGAACACTTGCTTTGAAAACAATGCTTTTCATAATTATCTTAAATCTACAAAATTTAAGAAAACAAACCTCATAAGGTATGGTGATAACTATTTGTGCAATTCTCTCCAAGCAAGCAAGTCTTTAAAAAGTTACATCTGCTAATCGTATGGATCCATGCAGGATTATTTCTGCCTGAATTGCAAAATCTGGCTAAGATTGAGAAAATGTCTATTGGTTTAGGTTCAAGGTCGGGTTCAACCAGAACTGTGGGTTCACCAGATGACATTAGCAAGCAAACACAGGAAAAATCTTGATACAAAGGATATGTAATGTCCACATCTTTACTTATGAAACTTGTTATAGATGTTGATAGTTCTGAGCGAAACTGATAAGTTAAATTGGTGAAATAGTTGTATTTTGTATTATACTATTAAAAACCATGAAATGTGATCGCTCTGCTCAACTGGCTTTCACTGCTATGAAAGCAATCTTAGTACTTCAGTTATCTACTTTGGTCATTCTAGCTGTGTCACTTGTACTTACCATGATGAATCCTTTGTTAATTTTGGTAACATATTTTTTTTTAGGGAGTATGTTTTATCTATGATAAAAGGTAGCATACAAGGTTCTGTGAAACTAATACCTTTTCAATGTCACAACCTGTTTTTTGTTACAACTTGAATTATCGCTGGTGGCTGGCTGAAAAATTCAAAATATACAGGGTGGAATGAAGTTAGTGTTAACAATTTGTAAACTACTTAGTTTTAGTGATAAAATGGCACTAATTTAGATTTCCATAGCCTCATAGGTAGGGAAAAACAGACAAAATAAGCTTTTCTCAAAATATTTGTATTTTCTTACATAAAATGGCCATAAGTGCATTAAAAATGGTTTTAATTTAGAATGTAAAGTCATTTTCAGAATCCTCATAAATTTCCAATAGTAATAGTACAGAGTTACTGAGATGAAACATCTGTATAAGCATTTATTCTGCAATGGAAGTTTAAATTTGGGATTTTTTAGAAAAATGCAATAACCTTTACATAAGCTTTTATACGTTAAACTTGACTATAGAGAGTGTCAAGTATTACTAACTTCTTTAATTTATAATCTTTAAAATGATGTATAAAAATTTACTGTTTCTTTGCGTTTTCATTCTTAAATTTAAGAGTTTCTTTTGAAAAACATGGAACGGCTAAGTCAAATTTTGTTTATGAAAACATGTATTTGCTTAAATGATATGGCAACAGCTGCACTAAAAATAATGTTAAAATAGAGTTTATTGTAGTTTTTAGAATCCTTGTACATTCTTTTGTTGTGTTTTTCTTTATATCCAATATGGCGGATCCAAGATTGCGGCCAAAAATGAGTTCCCTATGTAAATGAAGTACTAACCACCAAATAAACTTTGGGGGTCATCCCAAGTCAATATCTCAAAAAATTTTGAATAAAATATGCATGTGGTATATTTTTTTCAAATTTGTCCAATGTTGGGAAAAGCCGCCATTTTTAATCGTGATTTTAGGAGGTTTCCTGTAGACTGATTTTTGGCAACTTTTAGTATGTCACTCTGCAGACCCAACACTACAAAATAAACCATAAAACGTTTTCTTACAATTGTTTTTAACGTTCCCTGTGTCAGTTTTTTTAGTTTGCTTGGACTAATAGAGATTTGGCAAAATAAAAAAATTTACGTTTTATTGTTAAAAAATTTAAATATTTTCGTATCCATGTCTTAGAACCAAATTGTTATACTTATATTATAGGAAATTTAATTGTCTACAGCACTGACATTACATATCTTTCGCTAAAACGCATCAAAACGGATATATAGGCAAAAATCTCTAGAAAGTACAGATTTTTTCGATCTTTCAAAATGGCAGCGGGCGCGGAGGGGGGAGAATTGTGCATTTTTCATTTTAAACACCTACTTACCATCTTAGACAACATATAAAAAATTTAGACTTACCGGACCGTTTGTAAGTTAACATGCCTCTATTCACTGGACTAGTATCTATTCTGTTAACTTGAGTGTACTTAAGTGCTACGATTCGTCCATGAGGTGTGAAGTGCGTATGTGTAGATTTGGTGTGAGAGAGAAGCACGTTTCGATAAACTGTAAACCGTTGTGATTAAGACTCGTTAACCATTTTGAATAAAATGTTAGGTTAAATGTACCATGTAACTAACACCTTAAACAATATTCAATGTATTCAAAAATAAAAACACTAGTTTATTATTGTATTACAAAACATAGCATAACATGGATGTTAATCCTAATAGATTTTTAATATCTTCTATACTATTATATAAAAATCTAATGGTGTATGTCTGTATGTGTGTTACTAATAGGTGCAAAAACTACTGAACCAACTGGGCTTAAATTTTAAAAAAATATAGCTACCATACCAAGGACCATTATAGGACTATTCACATTTCGATACTGACCGTAGGCTTTGCCCCTTTGGCTTTAAAAGTTCTAAGGTGAACATTTTAAAAGTTAATATTGATTGGTCTCCATGGCTGCGATGAGAACACTAACAATTTTGTTTACATTTGCTTTGACATTTAAATGTAAACAAGAAGAACTGCTTAACTGCATATTTCACAATTTCAGACAGCTGATACAAAGAAATTGAATATAATATTTTCCATAACTATGAGGTAGGTTTATTTTAATGTAACCTTTTATCATGGATTATTTATTCTAACTAAAACTATGTCAATGATTATAGAAAAAAATGATTCTATAACCGTTGCTGTATCAACTCCGGCTCTTGCTTTGGATTTTTTAAAGCGTCTAAGTTATGAAAATAATGTTATTGATATGTTTTCATGGAAACAGTATGAAAATTACAATGAATAGATGTTTTGTATGAATTTGGAGGCTACTTTAAATAAATGCTAACTGCTTAACATGTGTTAGATTAACTTAATATAACGGGATCACATCATTTGTCCGAGTTTTCAACTGTCAGAGTTTGTTAAAAATTACAAAAT